AATTAAAGACTGTCTGATATATAATCATGGTTTTCCATCCAATTTAAAAAGTAAATAATAAATAAGTTTGCTAAAAGTAAATATAGAAATAAGTTTGCTATAGAGGTTGTCTAACTTGCATAAAGTTATTGTATTTTAAACATATTATTAATAAATAAACCCTTTTTTGGATTTTATTGTTCATGCCATTGAACAGGTGTATACGTCTTGAACATGTGAAGTCACGAATACTCGATATGCATGACATCTTGCAGAAAGCGTCATTAAGAACAAGATATATTATATATTTCACTTAAAGGATTTGAGAGCGAACAGCACTATACTTTGCAAATGACGTCTTTTTAACCTCAGCTCACATCAAGATGGAAGCATGTGACGTATAACTCTTTTATTAAATGAAGATAAATTATATTTTACTAAACGTCAACTTTCGAGGGCCGGTATAGATACAGTCGGTAAACAAAGTCGTTTAAGACCCCTTTAGTATTTTACCCACAGTACAAATTTCGAAACCTTTATGTGTCATATATATAGTGAAACTGCCATTTAAATGAATGATATATTATATTATGTCTAAAAGGCCCTGTTACATGCGCGAAGCAATTTGTTATGCACGTTGTGGCAAAATCAGAAAAAGCGCGTGCAAATAAATAGGGCCAGAGTTGAAAGCTAGGCCTAAATAAGCCTCGGCTTAATTGTTGAAAATTGACTGTTTATAGTTGTTTAGAGTTGTTCCCCAGCGGGCAAAATGACGTTTATCCAACGTTGAATCAACGTTGGAAATGACCTTCCAGACGTTGGATAGACGTTGAAAAAGGGTTGACTATGCAAACTGGATCGACGTTACTGTTTCGACGTTGAAACAACGTTGAAATTAGGTTGCCAATCTCGTCAACCATAATTCAACGTTGAATCCACGTTAAAACAACGTTGAGATTGGTTCACAAATCGACGTCGTACATTTAACCATGAACGCATGAACGTTAATTCAACGTCTGTTGGCTGCTGTTGAACCAATGTTTGTAAAACAACGTCAGAACAACGTAGATATTAGGTTGTCGACGTCGCAACCTTTTTTCTACCAAATTTCAACGTTGAAACAACGTCGTGTGCCTGGTGGGTCGCGACTTATTTAAGCCGCGGCTTATTTGCGACTTATTTTCGCTCGTATAAATGACCCTATTTATTTACACGCGCTTTTTCTGATTTTGCCACATCATATACATAACAAATTGCTTCGCGCGTGTAACAGCGCCTTTTAGACATAATATAATATATCATTATTTAAATGGCAGTTTTATTATATATATGACACATAAAGGTTTAGCAATTTGTATTGTGGGTAAAATACTAAAAGAGTAAAGGCCTAGCTTTCAACCGTCTGGGCTTATTTTAGCCGCGACTTATTGCAAATTGACTGTTTATAGACTTTATACGAGTTGTTCGCGACTTATTTAAGCCGCGACTTATTTTCGCAGTCGTATAAATGGCTCAATTCATTCAGTCAAATATTAACAAAGCGTCAAAGGACCTGAACGGCCAACGTTGCATCCAACATGTTAAGTCGATTACAAAAGAGTATGTTTTCTATAACAAGTTTGTGGTTTTAAGTTGGAATAGCTTGTACGAGCTTTTAACGCGAGCCTAGCTACTATAGTCATATATATCTGGTCATGCATACATGCAAAAAGTTGGAACAGGTTTTAGATATGGCAGCAATTATTTTTGGCAATGCAAGGTCGCTAATGTGCGTAAATGGTAATCGTAACATGCTTTAAATTAATATGCACTCCGGAATTTTTTGCAGTGTATACATGAGATGGTTAAAATGATTATAATCTTGAATTGTATATGTGTCAGTGTATAGGTATAGTGCTAATAATATGAACGAGCTTTCGTTATTTAGTATAGGGATGCCACTACCTGAAAAGTATAAGGAGAATTTCGACGTTTCATTTTGTGTAGGTATGGGATAGATTCGATTTACAAACTGCTCAGGTCTTTTGCGAATTTGATATATATAAAAAGATGTGAGATTTTACACGTGCAGCGTTGAAACGTGCTGCCCACGTGCTAAATTCGTGTTTCGCGTGTCAGTATAATCACGCAATTGATCAAGAAAGGCGCTGCGTCAGAAAAGCCCACGCTGTCCGGCTTTATTTAACTAGGCCCAGAAAATTCCCATTTGATCTTTTACAAATTATGTTAATTTAAAACACGCCATTAAAATGCGGCAAGTGACGCAAGACAGGCCGATGTTTGTCTCGAAATTTGACATTGTTTGCTCTAAACGCGTCTGTACTGTTTGCTTGTCGTGGGTAAAAATCATAAAGTTAGATAACTGTTCGTCTCAAAAATTAACATTGCAGTGCTAACATATACATTATAAATTACAAGGAGTTGAATTAATTTACAGTGTATATAATAGTATATAATATTGGCTTGTTGGTAAAATACAACAATAAATGTTTCCTCATCTTTCTTTTGATATTGAGTTTCTGTTGTTTCATGGCTAAAAAGTCCTAGATTCATCTCCTTGATTTTTTTTAAGACACATGCAGATGCCCATATCAATTATTCAAGCGCTATATATGTATGGTAATAGCGATTGCTTCATTGCGTTACGTATATATATCATTGAGCGATATAGACTTCGTGCAACTTCCAACAATTTATAGATACAAAACTACCGCAAAAACCACAATTGGGCATGACTCGTCTGGTACTAGAAAGCAATAGAAACCATTCAGCTATAACAATTGTGAGCCACATGCTTTAAAAACTTAAGTAAAGACTAAAGTCACGCACCCAGTTTTGAACAAAATTTATTAAAAAAACTAAAAAACTTAGTAATAGTAACTTTATCTCCCAAGCGCTATATTTGCCTGATATTACTCTTTCCACATATTCTAACTACAAATGAGATAATCTTGTTAAAATATATTGTCGTACTAAACCCTCTAATTTTTTATCCCCAAATTATTATCTGCCATATTTTCATTTCATTTGCATTCAGTCTGCCCATTAATCACATTAGTTATATTGTCTCAGCGGAAAATGTCTTCCTGATTTTATAATCATGTTGTTTATAAAAACATTTGGATGAAAACATTGTATCATTAAATTATCCTCATAAAATGGATCTAACTGAAGTTCGGTATGATTTATCTTGAAGCATACAAAATTCACGATCGAAATTTGCATCTATACAAAATCCTTCTTCAAACTCCACTTAGAACCCGTCATCATAAGAAAAAAAAACTTTACTAAATAGACAATTCCCATTATAGACTAATTTTAAAACTAGGCAAGGAGATTCAAATAAATCACTACAGCTAGAAAGAGCATACTAAAATTAGTAAAATTACAAAGTTTGGTTGCGAAATGTTGTAAAATGCGTAAAATATAGCCTTGCAAAATTTGCAAATTTTGTATATTTTTGTATTCCAAATGTGGTAGGAATGTGGTAGGAATTTCCGCACCATGAAAAGTATAGAAAATTTACGAACTTTCCAAGGCTACATATTTTCCTCATTTTACAACATTTCGCAACCAAACTTTGTAATTTTACTAACTTTAGTATGGTCTTTCTAGCTGTGGTGATTTATTTGAATTTCCTTGTCTAGTTTTAAAATTAGTCTATAATGGCAATTGTCTATTCTTACCATTAATTGCATATTGTTTCATACAATCTAAACCGGCTGATCTGAAAACTAAAAGCCCTATTTTTAAACTATCCACTGCACATATTATCATAGTTGCATGTAGGCTGATATTACTTTATCATCATTAAATTATTATAATTGGCATTGTTTATCTCGGAGCTCAACTTCCTGTTATCTTTCCAAATCTTCCATATTCCATCTGTTCCAAAATGATTGACAGTTGCTAAGTCTAATTTTTGGAGGAAACTCATAAAGTCAATATACACACTCATTAAACTAAATCAAACTAAACTAATTTTATTTAAATGTATTAGTAACATCAATTCTCAATTGTTCCGGCTTTTCACCCACCTATGCTTGCCTTGACCTTTCATCATAATATGGCACAAAAGCAATTATATTTTCTAAAGATTGAAATGGAAAACATGAAATTAACATGTAAAGGGGTTTATAAATAAAACCAAACTCAACTAACTGTATTTGTAGTGAATAGCTTTATCAGTTTCAAACTGTTCTCCCTAGAGTTCCAGTCAGTGTAGATTTTCTCCTGTAGTAACACTGGATAAATAAGAGATGATCCTTACTGGACCTCTAGGAAGAACAGTTTAGAACTGATAGAACTATCCAGTATAAATAAAGTTAGTTTAGTCTAGGTTTCTTCCTGTAGTAACACTGGATCAATATAAGAGATGATTCTTACTTGACCTCTAGGAAGAACAGTTTAGAATTGATAGAGCTATCCAGTATAAATAAAGTTAGTTTAACTTAGGTTTCCTCCTGTAGTAACACTAGATCAATACGAGATGATCCTTACTGGACCTCTAGGAAGAACAGTTTAGAACTGATAGAGCTATCCAGTATAAATAAAGTTAGTTTAGTTTAGGTTTCCTCCTGTAGTAACACTGGATCAATAAGAGGTGAGCCATATGAATATCTAGGAAAAACAGTTTGGAACTGATGGAGCTATCCAGTATAAATAAAGTTAGTTTAGAGCTAGGTTTCCTCCTGTAGTAACACTGGATCAATAAAAGATGATCCTTACTGGACCTCTAGGAAGAACAGTTTAGAACTGATAGAGCTATCCAGTATAAATAAAGTTAGTTTAGTTTAGGTTTCCTCCTGTAGTAACACTGGATCAATAAAAGATGATCCTTACTGGACCTCTAGGAAGAACAGTTTAGAACTGATAGAGCTATCCAGTATAAATAAAGTTAGTTTAGTTTAGGTTTCCTCCTGTAGTAACACTGGATCAATAAAAGATGATCCTTACTGGACCTCTAGGAAGAACAGTTTAGAACTGATATAGAGCTATCCAGTATAAATAAAGTTAGTTTAGTTTAGGTTTCCTCCTGTAGTAACACTGGAACAATAAGAGATGATCCTTACTGGACCTCTAGGAAGAACAGTTTAGAACTGATAGAGCTATCCAATATAAATAAAGTTCGTTTAGGTTAGGTTTTCTCCTGTAGTAACACTGGATAAATAAGAGTAAGGATATCCTTACTGGCCAGAACTCTAGGGAGAACAGTTTAGAATAGCAGACAGAGCTAACCAGTATAGATGTTGATTGTTGAACAGAGTTTTTCACTCAATTTAGGTCCTAATGAAACCACTAGAATTGCTCTGCGATATTCAGCTTCAACATGGCGCCGTGCCTCGCTTGAGTAAGGAAGAAAAGAGAGAAATACTGGAGCAAGAAGAGAAGAAAAAGAGTAAGGATATCCTTACTGGCCAGAACTCTAGGGAGAACAGTTTAGAATAGCAGACAGAGCTAACCAGTATAGATGTTGATTGTTGAACAGAGTTTTTCACTCAATTTAGGTCCTAATGAAACCACTAGAATTGCTCTGCGATATTCAGCTTCAACATGGCGCCGTGCCTCGCTTGAGTAAGGAAGAAAAGAGAGAAATACTGGAGCAAGAAGAGAAGAAAAAAGAAATGGAAGAACAAAGTGAGAAAAAAGAAATAAAGAAACATGACAAAATACCAGGAAAAGAAACAGAAAATCCACAACAAGGCGGAGATGACGAATCCAAACAAACACAAGAGCAAACAGGAAATGAAATGCTACAACAGGAAAACAATCAAATTAAAAAACACGAGCGTGACATAGAACACGTTCCTAAACGAGCAAAATTGGATGATTGATTGGATTGCTTAGTTATGTCTATGTAGTGTGAGGACTAAAAAGTCCGAACCGATCACTCATCCTTACCTGAAAACGATATCTCAAACATGATGGTCGGCAAATCTAGGTAGTATTCTACAATAAGTTGTCGTGGTTTGTGTCTAAAGACTAAACTACATGAAGACGATTTGGAAAAATCCTATGCCAAAATTTCGAAGTTTCCTTAAACGTTTTGCCTTGGAACAGTTAAGAGCAAACATTTTTAGGTAGTCGAGTTTCACGAACATCTAATGCACGTTTTGATTAGTGGTTTGATCATTTATTGGGGGGAAATAAGAAATTTAGGTCTTTTTAGGGTCTTGGTAGGGATTTTTACCCAACTCCAGTGATTTGGAAGTAAATAAATGGTTCGAGAATTCAATTTTCTTTCTCTAAAAATGTGTCAACATTTTTGAAGTAGTTGACCGCCATCTATCAAAATTTCACTAGCTCAGTCTATAAATGCTTTTTGACCATTTACCATTTAGTGGACGTCCACCCATTTTTCAGGTCGGGCGGGAGCTTTTCTTTTTTCTTTTAATTTCAAAAACTCATTAATAATTCATGAAGCAATTTATATCCAATCTTGAGTAAGAAATTAGTCACGTGCATACGTCTTTATACCAGCTAAAGAACACTTTAACAAAAGACCATTGTTATGCAAACTATATAAAGATTTTTATATAAAGATTTTTATATAAAGATTTGACTTATTATGCAAACGTTTTTGAAGCCATTTAAAAACCTCGCAGGTCGTGTTTTATTACTTATTAGGTCTAAAGCAACTCGCGCTGCGCGCTCGTGCTCAATAGCTTTTTAATGGCAGCTAGTTAATTTACTATGTAATGGCAACTTTGAATTGACAGTTGACCTGAATGATTTTTTCGAAGGATTCATGAATCATGGCGACGGTATATTTATTTTATGTCGCCTACGCGGCCAATATTCTGTTGGATAATTACTACGTTTCTAGTGTGTAGGCACTTGAGAACATGTCCTAATTTGACATTTAAATATTTAATTTACATAATCATCTCCACGACCACTGCAGGAGTTTCTTCAGTTTTGTAATTTGAAACTATAATATTCAAGTTTCATTGTGCCGTCGCCATTTTGTAGCAGCTGTTGAAGAATATAAAAAACACAGGCAACAAATTCAAGTAAGTCTATAGATCTCAAGACGAAATAACTGCGGCTATATCTTACAATTCAATTTATTGTTGAGTTTTATACAGAAAATATACAGTGCGTTTACTCGGTTTAGTATATATGATGCTTCTTTATATCCTCCTAGAATCTAGATTACTTCGCCAAGCATTGCAGTTTTAAAACGATCATATGTAGATAATTTATCATTAGAACGTTCTAATTTTGAAATAAAAAAACTTACAATGTTTCTGAGTGTAAATGAATAAAGCTTTGCCTATATTGTATTTTGAATGATGTGCTCACGGGTTAGCGGGTCATTCTGACATTCTATAGGATGTATTTGTATAAACCTGCTAAATTCCTGTCTAAATACCATATCTTCTTTCAAAAGCTGTCTCTTTCGATTTGTATGAATATTGTTACACGCGCTTTCACAAAATTTGCGACATTCCCACAACCATTAACGTTCACTATTTTAATATTGTGCAAGAGTCAAGAGTTTGGCCACTCAGACCTGATGGCTTTGAACAGATGTTGAGCTGTTCCTTATATATAGAAATATAAATCGAAATCACAGGCTTTCCACAAGCCACCACTATAAACTTCCGAAGACGGGCCATCGCTCGAAACATCGTTATTTCATCATAACATTTTCATATAGTTGAGTCTCTCTGGTATGTACTGTATATGCCGACTTCGACAAGTTAACAATTAATAGCATAATATCTCATATCTCATGCGTGCTAGCAGTACAAACCATCTTTGTCTAAAACCTTGTTAATAACATGCTGTAGGAATTACTGTAATAATCTTTATACCCATACATTATGGTATTTAGTTGAGAGTTACATTTCCCCTGTATAAATGCCTACTAGAAAGCTAGCAACCCATGACTATTGCATGCATTCAAGAATATGGTAATGTTTTTACTATAATGACTATAATAGATATTGGTTTATAAATTAACAGTCTGTACAAGAAGTTTCGTAATTGTTACACACTGCGAAATGTAGTGTTTATGTGCTTAAAATTTAACGATGACTCCTCGTGTGTTAATCAATTTATGCAATGTGTTATGACTTATGTGTTTTATTCTTTGCTGAATAAATGAATATCTAATTATTGCCATAAGCATACAAAGAATTGTATCATAGTTAATAGATGGTTTGGAAACTCGAGCTCATTAGAATATTCTGAATAACAATATAACTCATTATCTATGTTAGTCAACGTTTATTCATAAATATGGTCCTTCACAGTCACGTGTGCATTGTATTTTTGCCAAATCCACCAATAGTAATTTCAATTTATCGTATTGTTCGAGTCACGGATAGGTGACTTTCCTAAGACATTGCTATTGGTTAGTTGGGCAAAAATACAATACACACGTGACGGTGAAGGACTAGATTTATGAATATACGTTGACTAACATAGATAATGAGTTATATTGTTATTCAGAATATTCTAATGAGCTCGAGTTTCCAAACCATCTCTTCTATTAACTATGGTTGTATCACAAACAATTTGTCAAGTACTTTCACTGTCAGTTTTCAGAGTGAAAAAAATCCCAATAATTCTTCTCATATATACTACCCTAGCATGTATTTGGTGGTAAATAAATATTAAGTTTATGTAAATTAATTGTCTTGCACACTTTGTCAAGTTGATCGATCAATAAGTTTTCTATGACACGTTTTCCTTGAAGTTTTGTTGCTCGGGTAGGACGTAACGTTGCTAAACATTTATCTCACATCAAGTCCAAGTTTCTTGTTCTCAACCTTTCCTTGGCGGTCGTACACAGGAACAAATGTTCTTTGTCCAAAAGCTGGAAATGACTAGCTTTGCAACAAGGCCAAATTGTCAATATTTTGCTGTACACATGTATGAGCAAATAAAAATTGTCAAGGAAATCTTGCTCATCGGTATGGGGCTGCAGTGTGAACAATAAGGAAGTTGATAACCATCTTAAATGAACTCTGCTTCCCGGAACCCGATGAAGACGTGACCAGAGTCCACTCCTTTAAGCTGCTTCCTTTGCGGATCCGCCGAATATATTGCCCACTGACAAGAACAATAAGTGAGATAGAACTGATAGAGCTGTCCAGTATAAATAAAGTTAGTTTAGTTTAGTTTAGTTTAGTTTAGTTTAGTTTAGTTTAGTTTAGTTTAGTTTAGTTTAGGTTTCTTCCTGTACGTAGTAACACTGGATCAATACGAGACGATGATCCTTACTGGACCTCTGGGGAGAAGTTTAGAACTAAAAGAGATATCCAGTTTATTTTTTTGTACTTCTCATCGGCAATCAACAATGGTCAATTGTTTTTCTTCTAGAAAGATGTTGAGACTCATAGCAGTTTTTGTCCTGGTCTGTTTATTCAATGGTCAGTACCAGCTCTTCTTGGCATCGTTCAAGATGTTTTGTTCTTAAACCAATGGTTACTGACAAACTGTTTTTCAATCCTAGGTCTTCAAGTGCAGGCACTGACATGTCTGTGCACAGGGAGTACATGTGCAAATAACGTAACAACATGTACAGATGCCACCGAGATTTGTTACGCGGCAGTGATCAGACTGAAAGATGGCAACACTAGAATCGAAAAAGGTTTGTATTTCTTATATAGTTGAAGGGTATTGTACATGGAAATTGTCGAGTGGAAATTTATAGACATTTATTACACCTAACCAGGAACAGCTGCGAAAAATACAACTCTAGGTCCTGGCAGGAATCGAAACTGCGGCCCTGCGATTCCAGTGCAGCGCTCTAACCAACTGAGCTACAGAGGCCAGTAGTCGAGCTCTAACCAACTGAGCTACAGAGGCCAGTAGTCGAGCTCTAACCAACTGAGCTACAGAGGCCAGTAGTCGAGCTCTAATCACAAGTTCTGTTTAGTGTTTCTCGCTCAGTTTACTAACGAAAACAGCGAAGATACGTTTACATGGTACGATTTGAAGGACGTTTGCTACTTTAAGTTGGTGATTTTGTCAGATTTGTTTGCCACGCATTTTTCAATTGTCTCCACAGAAATTTTAGGTGATACGCGCGTGACACCTCTGGTAGCAATTCAGTGTTGGTTTTAAAATTTAGGCCCGTGTAAACACGGAGTGATAGCTTATACTTGTAAATACTGAAATATTTCGGTTGTTTCGGTAGTTTTTATTGAAATTTTTCAGCATATCAGCATTATTTTACACCCTGCTCGGTTTCCTTTGTTCTTATCGGGGGAATATATTCAATATTCCCCTCTAATCAATTTCCCTCTAATATATCCCCTCGTTGCCTCAAAATAACCTACACTGTACATATATGATACCTTACTTCACACATCACCTCTGCGCGGATAAATTAAAAGCTGGAATTGCCTTTTCAATATAAGAAACGTCATCAATGGAACAAAGCTTGTCAAATACCATCTTGAGTTCGTCTGGTGTCGTTGATCGTGATTTACAAATATCATTTTATTTTAGGTTGTAAAGATAGAGCCGAGTGTACAACCACAGATTTCTGTCCTGTTCGTGCAGAGGGTAGCGTCTGTGCGAAATTTGGCTGCTGCACCTATGGCCGCTGTGTGGCCAATTACACCTTGGGTGTAGACTTCGAAACCCCAACCCCTTCCCCGACACCCTCCACCACCCAAAAGCCACTTATGGCAAAATCATCCTCCCTCGAACCTTCGTCATCTGTCGTTCCTATGACAACAAAACCTGAAATGGCAGCCACAAGTACCGACCAAGCAAAAATGCCCGCCACCAGTACCGTCCAAGAAAAAATGCCCACGACAAGTACTGTCCAAGAAAAAATGGCCGCTACCAGTACCGTCCAAGAAAAAATGCCGGCGACAAGTACTGTCCAAGAAAACTTGCCCGCCACCAGTACCGTCCAAGCAGAAAGGACTTCGGAGCCCGTGATGCCAACTCCCAAAATGACAGCGGTTAAACCTATGACGTCAGCGCAACCGGAAATGAAGTCGACTAAGGAAAGCATGATGCCAAGTGTGCAGATTGCACCAAGTGGAAGCACAGACAGAATTGCTACTAAACACGTTTTCAATACAGATAACGTTATTCTACCACAAGATACACGGCCCACTTGCTCCAGTGCATCAGGACGCGTGTTCAGTTTGGGTGCATTTGTCCCTGTAGCGATTGGATTGTTGTGCGGAATGTTTTAACATCCCCCGCGTATGTGTGAAGATTACTTCATTTAACTTAATTTTGCTTGTTAAAGTAGCGCTCTGCAGTTTATATATCAAGATGTACTGCAAGATGTAGTTTCCATAAAACATAGTCAAGAGACATGACCGGCTGTACCAGTGTAGGGACAATAACAGCAGAAACCTGCACATTGAGATGGATTTAACTGCCTGAAAAATACAAGTGAAACTGCGACGTTTCGAGGCCCTAACAACCCGACGAAGGATTTTTCCAGGGTTCGTGCATGCGAGAGTCAGGACTTTTCAACGACATTCAGGGCCATGTATCAGCAAATTCAAGGACTAAATACTGATGAGAAGGGGTTAGAAATCAGTAAAATCCGACGCTGAATTTTAGCCATTTCCCAAAGTCCTCGGTCTAGTCGCGCAAATCCCATGTTGGAGGGACAAGAAATATGGCAGCACATTTAAATTAAACGTTTAATGTAAAAAGGAGATATTTAATTTTTGGTCGTCTTAAAAGTTGATATGTGATAGAAGATACTTCTACTCTTTCACATATTTGACGCCTGTCACCATATATTTTGTCCCTCCAAATGATCCCAGAATGCACTGTGATCTCTTTTGCGGAAAAGGGTAGTTGTTCAAAACGAAACCTTAATGAATTTCAAACAGCTTTGTCAGATATGAACATGCAAAATCAATTCAACAAAATGTCCGTTTTGAATGTCAAACAATTTCAGAAAATATTCATAAACTAAAGCAACGACTTCAAGTACTTCTTTACAAATTCAAGGACATTCAAGCATAGAGATTATAAATAACACTAGAGGAGGCATCGAGTTTAAAAATTGGGAACACAGCTAATGGGGGGCAAATTCAAGTCCCGGATATAAAATCGTACTCTCATTGGCTGATTTGAAACTCGTCACCAATGGAAACACGAATACACATCCGCGACTTGAATTTGCCCCCCAATAGTCGCGTTCCCTTTTTTTTACTGAATTAAGATTACAATGCCTCCTCTAGTGTTATTTATAATCTCTATGCATTCAAGGACATTCAAGGACTTTCAAGGACTTGGATTTTTGTTTTCAAATTCAAGGATATTCGAGGACATTCGAGTTTTGTATGAACCCTGTAATTTTCGCTGGAAACGTCGACATTTTTCTTGCATTTTTCAAGTGGTTAAATTCGTCTCAATCGGGAGTTTTGGGTGTGGCGTGCTATCCTAAATTCAATTATGCTTTTAATTATTAATTGGTGCTGGTCTGTTGTTGTTTTAATAATAATACTAAGATAATACTAAGAAACAGTTTCACTTCAAAGGAAAATAAGATTATATAAGTTATATTAGATCTATCCAAATTAAAAAGTGAGAAATAGTACTCGTTAGTATATTTTGGACATAAAATTGCACTGACGTGTCTTTGTCAAGTTCATAACCCTGTGAGTATTAATATGTGTATTCCAGTAAGCAGGGCCGGAGATACGGGGTGTGTGTGTGGGGGGGGGGTGACACTTCCCCAGAAATTTTATTCAGTCGGCAGGAC